GCTGTTGACACCCTTTTGTTCTGCATCCCTTGATCAGCTAATTGAAGGAGCAGGTTGGAAAATCTTCGAACGCACAGAGCCGGCAGCCACCTGCCTGCTCTGTTCGGGTATTCTGACAGAAGCCCCGCGGCCGCCATGAGCATGCAATGAAGACAGCAGGAGATTCCTCCATCAACGCTCGTAAGCGCTGATGGAGGAATCTGTTATATTGTCCGCTGTCTGCACCCTTTTGGCCAGCATTCCTTAATCAGCTGATCAAAGGAGCTGGTTGGAAAATCGTTTAACAAACAGAGCTGTCAGCCAATGAGCTGACGGCTCTGTTTGGGTATTCTGACGGCAGCCAATTGCCGCCCATGCATACAATAAGGACAGCAGGATATTCCTCCATCAACGCTTCTTTGTTCAGCCCAAAGGTTACGCAAAGGAAATATTACAGTGAATGAGCAACTTTGCTAACTTTTTCCTCATGGGTGCTTTGTTTTAAATTTGAATGCTGCAATTTTTATGGTGGTGTGTGTGGAGTTCTGTTGAATGAGTGGACCTTAGCTTTTAGAGCGAGGTCCAATTTAAACCTTAAAGGAGAACTATGACATGAGTGATTTCCACTCACCACATAGTTCTAAGCCGACCTGTGACAATGAGACTGTCACAGGTCGGCTCAGTAGATCGGGAGGTGAGAGAACACATACCGGGTTCCCTCACCTCTCGATCCTGTCACGGCTCTCTGCCGTGACAGGGGGAGGGGCTGGATTCCCCTCTCCCCGCTCCGATCTGCCAGCGCTGACTGGCGGAATGGACGGGGGAGGGGGCCGGGTACAGCTGGCTCTGCCTCTAGATAGGCAGAGCCAGCTGTCACTCACGCAGCTGGGCGGATCCCGTCATCTAAGTCGGGATCCGCTCCAGGTGCGGCGTCTCAGTATACCGCGAGCTGTAGCTCGCGGTATACTGAGCTTAGGGTAACGGGAGGACGCTAGTTTGTGTCCTCCCGTTACCCCAAGGAGAACTATGGGGAAAAACACTGACCCCATAGTTCTCCTTTAAAACAAACTCTGGTGCGGTACAATAACCAACAATAAAAATATGACCATGAATTTGATCTATTTCACATATGCGGTATATCTACATAATATTCTGTTTTAATTTGAACCATGAAAAGTTGTAGATGGAAGACAAACACTTCAAATAAAGGATCCAGAGAATTACAAAAACCCATCCAAAAATCACAGGGAGCTTTTATCAGCAGTTATCAGGAATTATGTGTGATCAGTAAGAATACTTTGTACCGAAGACATAACTCATAACACTTTCTGCATTTATTCACTCTGTTTGGCAGAGAAGTCAATAGCGCGTATCAGATTTTGGCCTAACCCCAGCAACACAAGGGCTTCTCTATGTGTTCAGTAGTAGAGTATTGTGCTGTGCTAGCTATAAATAAACTTGGAAGTTTTAGGATGATGTGTTCATCTTTGGTGACTTCACACTTATACCTAACACACCACATCTTTAAAGTGAACCTTTCAGCAACTTAATAAGTATATAGCAATAAATTCCTAATGTAACAATATACAGCAAAAGTATAATTTTTCAGCAAAGTTCCTACTTTTGTTATAAGCTCGTCCTTGAGCTCAAGCCCGGTGGCTTTGCCTGGGGTGAGAGGATGTCATCAGTATACTGCAGGCAGGAGGAAGAATTTTCCCGGTCTTTTCTCCCCCTGTGTTCAGACTGCAACATTGTAACTGTAGCAAGTCAGAAGGTGAGAAGTTGCAGCGAAGCTTGATCTGTGTCAGACGTTTGTGAACACAGCTAAGAACTGCAAAGGCATCAGGATTTGCATGACTGTGCAATCTCTGCACCGACATCTCAGTCCACAAAGTAGATGGTGATCCTAGATGGTGCACTCTTTCTGCAGAGAATAGCAGATGAAGGCAGTGCCAGTGTGACAGGAAAAAAATACTGGAAAGTGTCATACTTACACATTGCTCAGCATGCATGCATCTAGTGTGAAGAATGGTATTTGATGCTAAGTCCACTATAAATAACAAATGCGCTAAACATCAAAATACAACATGAAATATCAAGGATACCTTGATGAGGAGCCATAGATACAGAACAGTGTGACCCACCAGCAGCTGCCTAAGTGAATGGAGAACCATTACTTAGAGCAGTCTATCTTTGCATTACTTGTAAAATATAAAGTATATTTAGTTGATAATTCAATTAAAGTCATAATGAGACATGAAGCTCATTTTCTGTCTTGGTAGGCCACATTGCAGTGTGTTGATTTTTGGCAAAATTGTATATTCCTTTTCTTTTCACCTCAGTATGGTGAGCCTCATCCTGTCTGTCAAGTCTGTAATTAGTTCTGTACCAGAGTGAATACATTAGAAAGACCATCTGGTTGTTTGCATTTAATTGGTGAAAGGTCATTTGCTGATGTCATGGTTATCCTCCCACGTAAAGCTCTGTTCCTGGTCGGGACAACACCAGCTATTGGAGACTGTGTGTAGGACATTGGCCATTGGAGACTGTGTGTAGGATATTGGCCATTGGAGACTGCGTGTAGGACATTGGCCATTGGAGACTGTGTGTAAGATATTGGCCATTGGAGACTGCGTGTAGGACATTGGTCATTGGAAACTGTGTGTAGTACACTGGCCATTAGAGACTGTGTGTAAGACACTGACCATTGGAGACTGTGTGTAGGACATTGTCCATTAGAGACTGTGTGTAGGACATTGGCCATTGGAGACTGGGTGTAGGACATTGGTCATTGGAGACTGCTTGTAGGACATTGACAATTGGAGACTGTTTGTAAGACATTGATTATTGGAGACTATGTGTAGGCTATGGGCCATTGGGGACTGTTTGTAGGATATTGGCCATTAGAGACTGTTTGTAGGACATTGACTATTAGAGACTATGTGTAGTACATTGACCATTGGAGACTGGGTGTAGGACATTGTCCATGGGAGTCTATGTGTAGGATATTGGCCATTCAAGACAGTGTGTAGGATATTGGCCATTGCAGACTATGCATAGTACATTGGCCTTTGGAGACTGTGTGTAGGACATTGGCCATTGGTGACTGCGTGATTTAAACCATATGTAGTCATCTGGACTCTTGAGGGGAAATGTGCAATTGTCCCAAACTGCAATTGCTGTTGTAACTTCACTAAAGACTGCTGTCACTGATCATTTTAAACACAAAAACTTTAGTGGTATTTTTTGTCCCCAGTGAACTTCTAAGCCAATGACAATACTCAACATTTTTTTTCTGTGCTTAAAATTTTTCGTTTACCAAATTTACTTTCAGATTCCCTATAACCAACGACCCCACTCACCCAGTTTGTTAAAAGTTTATATAGACTTTCCAAGTAGCATCAAACTGGCTCTTCCCACTTGAAATCAGCACAACATGTCTTGTTTTCGAAGTAATGACATTGATACTACAATATCATATTTTTTTTTTCCTTAATGTGCCTGGAAAATCAAATGTTCGAAGCAGATGGTGTATTCCGGAAAGCAACAAATTGGCGCAATGAAGACATAGTGGTGTTGTTGTAGGTTACAAATGAACTTGTACCGAGTACATGGCATCTATGACAACACTTGCTATCTGGAAATGGACTAATCAGCTATTTAAGGATCAGATAAACCAATAGACGAAGGATCATAAACTCATATGGCTTTTACTTTCGTGCTTGCCAGCTGCTCATAAGCATATATTTTGGAAAATGTAGATATTTTATTAACAAATGACACCAGTCCATTTGGCTGCCATCAATTTGTCTTCAAAGTGCTCATCATTCGGGGGGTCATTTTTTAAAAATTTTACTTTGGAACTAATTGAGTTACACATTTCCTGCCATGCTCTGATAAGGTTTTCTCGTTTTATATGCATAATGTTTCCTGTAATTATTGACCTTCTGAAGCCTACTGAAACAACAGTCCAAGCTGAGATATATTGGTTCTAGTGTGCTGTGTCGTCTGGAAACACTCTTCTGTTGTGTTTGGATTGAAAACATCTTGTATCTTTATTTCGTATTTGCAGACTTTAGGCAAATATATGCAAAAAACACCCTTTAGTTGACTTTTGTGTTGCTTCCGAAGTCATTGAATACACTTTTCATAATGACGAGCAAATGAGCAGTCTTAACTAATAAGCTCAGCTGTTGGTTCAGTAATATGGTGACTGATAAGCACTTTATTACAGATTACAATCTGCTCAGAGCTAAAGGAACTACTAAAGGGTTCCCTTGGACACTTTTCTTGGTCACCTTTGGAGCCCATGTTCTGTAGAAGAGCACAGGCTTCCTACCCTTCACTGCTGTCCACCAGTCAGACATGAAAAGGAGCCAAGGTGCATCCTGACTTCATTGGCTGGCATTGGTTCAGATAATTATGGGATGAGGCCTGCTGTGTCCTCTATGACATAATTGTTGTAAAGTAAACATCGTCCCAAGCTTGCTCTTGTGATAGCCTATACCTTCAATACAAATTAGTAAACTAAACATGAGATTGTAGTCCATCAAGGGAGTGAGCTTGGAGCTGTGGCTGCTTTACAATACACACAGGGACCATGGGGAACAAAAGTAGCCCCCCTCCAGAAGGGAGGACAGTGTCAGCACCAATTCAGAGATGATTTGAGGGTCTACAGCCGATTGATACACAAATAAGATACATTTTCCTTATTAGTTAAGGTACTTGAATGCAATTTTAAGATTTCACTCCTGAGTTTAGTGTCACTTTAAGGGTGGAATGGTGAAGTATGTAGGTGGGTCTATAGGAGAAAGGACCTCAGGGTAGAGAATAGAAGTGTGGTGAGGTAAACTGATGGTGAGCAGGTGGGGCAACGGCACAGAGATTAACTTTTTTTTAATCCTCCTTATGGTAAGCAGCAGTAAAGTGCATCATGATGTGTGATGATGATGTGATGATGTAGATGATGTGTGTATTACTTAATAAGTTCTTTTTTTATGTATCTTTTTATTTATTTGCAGTTTGCAAATATACTGCCCATGAACGTTGTGTTTCAAGAGCACCCCCATCTTGCATTAAAACCTACGTCAAGTCAAAGAAGAACACAACTGTAAGTTGATGGGACAAAATTACTTATTACAGGCAAATAAGAAGGACGTCTTTTCTGAACTCTCTGCTTTTTGCTCAGGTCATGCACCATTTTTGGGTGGAAGGAAACTGCCCGACCAAATGTGAAAAGTGTCACAAAGCCATTAAATGTTATCAAGGCCTCACCGGACTCCACTGCGTTTGGTGTCAAATTACAGTAAGTGGATGCGTTTGTTTGCTCCTTAGTGGCGTAGACTAAAATGATGAGTGATGCTACTGTATATGTGTACAACAGCCAAGACGAATCATGTGACTGATGAGGGGTCCAAGAATGGGAGCGGGGGAGGGAGTGTCGTGTTACTGCTAATTTTGTAATTATTAATTTCTTCAGTAATGACATTTGGAAAATAATTTCAGACTATTGAATACAATTCAAGGTTACTTGAACTTATCAGATTTCTATAAAAGCAATCTATTTGACTTAAAGTGGGTTGTTTTTGAATGGCAGTGGCATTGGCATTGATTTTGACACTGTTGCTTCCTACAAAAAATAGAAACAAACAGCATAGGAAAATAAATTTATGATCCTTACCAGTACCGCTTTCACTGCAGATTATTTTTACTATTTTGCAGCTAGAATCTCAAATCTTTACACCTGTAGGTGTAGTATATGTTGGTGGGTCTATTCTGCGCTCTGTGGCTCCCTCCCCCTTCAGAGCGGTCCTTTAGTAGGGACATACTAGTGATGTAGCAGTTGAAAGGTGAGCCCCCCCACCCCCCCCCCGGGCGGGGGCCACGGGT